TCTCCTTTACACGCACGCCATGGCCATGGTGGCGAGCCAGCCGAGCCCGCGCCCCCTATAAGACCTCCCCGCTCCCTCTCCTAGGGTTTCCCCTCTTCCCCTCTTGCCGCCGCCACCTCCTTCCCATCCCTCTGCTTCTTCCACAAATCAGATGCACCGAGAGCAGGGAGATAAGCCTGTCGACGTCCGTCGTCGTTCTCGCGGCTAGAGGGCCTCAAGCTCGTCTTCGACATGTCCTCCTGCACCCCGTCTCCATCCTCGGCTGATTCTGATGGGTGGTCGAACTGGATCGCCTCCATGCCGTCGTCCACGTCCACGTCGCCGTCGTCTTCCCCTGCTTCTCTTCTTCAGGAGACCGAGCTTCTCTCCATCGTGATCCGACAAGCAGCTGCCGTCTTCTTCGTCCGAAGCCTCTCGTGCCTCGTCGTCGTCTTCCTCGACTACACACACGTCCACACGATCCCGTAGCTCCTTCCACGACGTCCTCTACATCATCTTCTTCCTCCGGCTAATCCATCGCCGCCCCGATCAGCGCGTCTTCTCGCCGTCTTCGGTCTCCGACGACCTCGTACAACTCCAGCAGCCTCCCCTCGGTGAGCATACGCTCCTCCCAGCCTCTCTCTTGTTCAATCTGTCGCTGTAGTCATCTTCTCGAGCCGCCAACTCCATATCCGCCATGGCTGAGTTTCTGGAACTCACCTCGCTGCCCCTGCACACTCCCGCACGCGCTCAACCCTCTCTGTTCGCGCTCGCACACGCAAGACCGAAGCGCTGCACGCGCAGCAGCCGCGGAACACCACCCGCGCGGCTTCGGTCGTCGTCTTCCCCATGGCCGAGACGAGCTCCTGCTCGTGCACAAGTGCCTGCACGCACGCCACCCCCGGAAGCAGCCTTCGCTCGCAAGCGTGCACCCTAGCACATTTCCGCACCCCCGCCGATGATCCGCTGCACCTGTAGCCGCTGCTTTGCTCGTCCTCGTGGCCGGCAAGTTGCTGTGCGTTCATGGCGGTTCCAAGACCGAGCCTCTGCTTGTTCAAAAGAACTATGCCCCTTCCTTATCACAAACACTTAGTCAGGCTAGCTGGTCAACGCTCTGCTCCCCTACGCAGGAGGTCGTGGGATCAAGTCCCAGCAGGCCCCATTTTTTGCTCTATTTTCCCCTTTACTGCTGCACACACACGCAGCGCTCACTCGGGCCTCATTCGCTCCCGGGCCGCTACAATCAGGCACGTGCATGTTTTTTTTCCACTCAATGATTTTGGCATATTTCCCGTGCATGCATATTTTTAGAAATGCCATTAATTTGCTTTGCTCATATCTAAATACCCATGCATCTTAATAAAGCATGTAATATATATAAAATGCTTAGGGTTTCATGTACTGTCATAATATGCACCTTTCACCCTTGGCAAAATGTTTAAAATGTTGTTTGTTTAAATTTGCTTAAATAACTTGCTAAAATGATTTAATTCATAACTAAATAACCGTAACTCGGTTTGTAATAAACTTTATATGTAAATGGGGTAGAAAAATGCCTAGTTTAACATGTTGCACTCACCTAGCATGTTTAACAAATCTAAAATTATGTTTAGGGCAGAACAGCAACAAACCTAATATATGCATATGAGGAGTTTCCGGACTTGTTGTTTTGTTGTTCCGGCCTCATTTAAACTTGCCTAGATTAGATAGTTTCATCATGCTTCACCTCTTGACATGATAACAACATTTAATCTTGTTGGGTACATAAACGAGAGAGAACTAAATAAGTCATGTGGTGTTTTTCTTCAATATGTAACTCCGTTGCATATTGAGCTCCACTTAATTTGTAGTGTTGTTTGTTGCACTTTGCCATGCCATGCCCTCTTTAAACCGGACATGCATCATACTTGTTGTGCATCATGCCATGTTGTTGTAGTTGTTGTTTACTATGTTGTTTTCTTCTTTCCGATGTTTGCTTCTTCGGGTTGGTTCCGGTAACGTCATGTTTGTGAGGACTCGTTCGCCTACGCCCGTTTGTCTTCCTCATGGACTCGTTCTTCTTCCTTGCGGGATTTCAGGCAAGACGATCATACCCTCGAAATCACTTCTATCTTTGCTTGCTAGATACTCGCTCTTTTGCTATGCCTATGCTGCGATACCTACCACTTGCTTTTCATGCCTCCTATATTGTTGAACCAAGCCTCTAACCCACCTTGCGCTAGCAAACCGTTGTTTGGCTATATTACCGCTTTGCTCAGCCCCTCTTATAGCGTTGTTAGTTGCAGGTGAAGATTGAAGTTTGTTCCTTGTTGTAACATGGAGATGTTGTTCCTTGTTGGAACATGTTTACTTGTGGGGATATCATAATATCTCTTATCTAATTAATGCATCTATATACTTGGTAAAGGGTGGAAGGCTCGCCCTTATGCCTGGTGTTTTGTTCCACTCTTTCCGCTCTAGTTTCCGTCATATCGGTGTTATGTTCCCGGATTTTGCGTTCGTTACACGGTTGGGTGATACTGGGAACCCCTTGACAGTTCGCCTTGAATAAAACTCTTCCAGCAATGCCCAACATTGGTTTTACCATTTGCCACCTAGCCTTTTTCCCTTGGGTTTCGCGGACTCAAGGGTCATCTTTAACTTAACCCCCCCCGGGCCAGTGCTTCTCTAAGTGTTGGTCCAACTGAGCGATGTCCGAGGCTACCAGGGGCAACTCTGGGCTGGCTTACCCGATGTCTGGCTCATCCGGTGTGCCCTGAGAACGAGATATGTGCAGCTCCTATCGGGATTTGTCGACACATCTGGGTGGCTTTGCTGGTCTTGTTTTACCATTGTCGAAATGTCTTGTAACCGGGATTCCGAGTCTGATCGGGTCTTCCCGCTAGAAGGAATATCCTTCGTTGACCATGAGAGCTTGTCATGGGCTAAGTTGAGACACCCCTGCAGGGATATGAACTTTCGAAAGTCGTGCCCGCGGTTATGGGCAGATGGGAATTTGTTAATGTCCGATTGTAAAAAACCTGAAGTTTACCTTAATTAAAATGCATCAACCGCGTGTGTAACCGTGATGGTCTCTTTCCGGCGGAGTCCGGGAAGTGAACACGGTGTGGAGTTATGCTTGACGTAGGTTGTTCTAGGATCACTTCTTGATCATAGTTTCTCGATCGTGCTTTGCTTTCTCTTCTCGCTCTCATTTGCGCATGTTAGCCACCATATATGCTAGTCGCTTGCTGCAGCTCCACCTCATACCTTTACCTTACCCATAAGCTTAAATAGTCTTGATCGCGAGGGTGCGAGATTGCTGAGTCCCCGTGGCTCACAGATTACTTCAAAACCAGCTTGCAGGTGTCGTTGAACTGTGCAGATGACGCAACCAAGCTCAGGAGGAGCTTGACGAGGATTGTGTCTTTTATGTTGTTTCGTTCTAGTTGATCAGTAGTGGAGCCCAGTTGGGGTCGATTGGGGACCGTGTCGCATTTGGGGTTCTTCTTTTATTTTGGTTCCGTAGTCGGACCTTGATTGTATTTGGATGATGTAATGCTTTATTCATGTATTGTGTGAAGCGGCGATTGTAAGCCAACTATGTATCTCTGTCCCTTTTGTATTACATGGGTTGTTTGCGAAGATTACCTCACTTGCAACATTGCTTTCAATGCGGTTATGCCTCTAAGTCGTGCTTCGACACGTGTGAGATATAGCCGCATCGAGGGCGTTACACCGGTCCTCATGGGCATGTGCATAAAGACTTTTCGATTGTAATCGACAAAGTCAAGTTGGCTTCGGTAGGGGAGTGGCGACAATGACGCTTTGGCTGCAATAGTGGTCGATTGATGGTCGCAAAATTTCAATGTAATTTTAGTTATGTTTGAGATGTTTTATAATGTGTACAACGGTCATCCAAGTTTCATATCCTTCAGAAAAAATCTGAATTTTTCTAATATATTTTTAGTGCTATTTTCCATATAGGGGGTCACCCAAGTTTCATATCCTTCAGAAAATTTTGAATTTTCTAATATATTTTTAGTGCTATTTTCCATATAGGGGTGTGTGGCACCCGAGAACCACAAATCCTCATCCGTATGGCATGTCGCTTTAATTTTGTCTTTAACGCTACCTCGGCGGAGGCGTTTGCTTTGCTAAGGACTGGAGCTCGTCGAGAAGTTGGGTTGCACTCGTGTAACAATCACGTCCAACTCTCATGAGCTAATCAATGAATGAAATGGAGAGATTGAGATCTTTGGTAAGCTACTCCTATGAGACTCATTTAATTTTATTGGCTGCGAAATAAAATATCGAGAGGCTTTCTCTTAAAGAAAAACTAAGGCCTCATTTGTTTTACAGGATAGGTAAAGTGTAGGAACAGGAAAACTAGAGGAATAGAATGCCTTGTCCAGCGAAATTCAACGGATAGCAAAACAGAGGAATTCTCACACAACTGCTATTTGATTGTAGTATAGGAAAACCACAGGAACTTATGCCTGCGTCCTGTAAATCAAACAGACACCGCAGGAAAATTTCCAGAGGATCTAAATCCTACAGAAAATCCTATGCAAATCAAGCAAGGCCTGAATGTGTTTTCAAAAATTAAAATTGGAAAAAAAATTTGTCTGAGCCCAGGTTCGAACTGGGGACCTTTAGTGTGTGAGACTAACGTGATAACCAACTACACCACCCAGACGAGGTGCTAACAGCTGAGGCAATTTTTTATATATTCTTCTTTGAAGTGTAATCGGAACCTCAACCAACGCCTGAACAACTCGAAGGCAAAACAAACGACCAATCGAACCGTACTCGAATTTTCAATCGAGCCTATATATACGAGTATAATAACGCAACACGCCGTACGCAGCATCGATCTTTAACACCGGTTACAATGAAACTAAAGTTTAAAACCGTACCACCAAATCGGATTACAAGACCCCACAACCATCGCTGATAGCTCTGCAGACAGACAGATCTTAAACTAAATCCAGCGGAGGAGCTCGAACCGATCGATGCTGGCGGCGGGCGGGCGCGCCCGGCTAGCCGGTGTAGACGTGGACGCCGACGGCGATGAGGAAGATGGTGACGAGCGCGAAGTAGAGGACGGCGTGGATGAGGATGGAGAGGCCGCTGGTGTGCATGCTGCCGAACTCCGCCACCCGCCCGCGCCCCGGCAGCGTGCACAGCAGCCCCGGCGTCAGCAGCACGAACAGCACCGTCGCGACGATCACCGGGCCCCAGTCCGCCATCTCCCCTCTCCTCTCTCTGATCTGTTCTGTCTAAAAACCCCAAATCTTGAGCGAGCCTCTGGAATTTTTTCTGGGAACTCTCCGGGATGTGTGTGTGCAGTGCGGCGGAGACGGGGGAGGTCACGCATTAATGTGTGCCTCTCCAGCTTTGCTCGCAGAGTGGGGGGAGTGGGTGGCCGCCAGCTCAGCTTCCGATGCCGCTTGATATGCCCGTGACATGTGGGCCGAAGGTTGTCCTGAACGTCTTGGGGCCCACACGACATTGGCTAGGTAGAGGCGTACTCTCTTGTGCATCGGGTGGGGAAAAGGATACGTTCCGTTCTAGTCGAGGAAACCTTTGCGTGCGTTGCGTCGCGTTGCCGTGGGCGTGGATGGAAGGAACCAGAAGGAGCTCCCGTGGGTCCGGGCCGCCGAAAAACAAAAGATTTTTTTTTTCGAGGGTACGCCAATGGAGGACATATCCGGTGCACCGTGCACCGACGCCGACGCAGCAGGTGTAACTAACAGGTGAATGCCGATCGAAATCACTCGCTAGTCGCCACTACTTCCTCTGTTCGCATTTACCAGGCTCCCTTATATTTTGAGCGAAAGTTTAAACATAATTTTTGTATTAAAAAAAGACTACTCCCTCCGTTCCTAAATATTTGTCTTTGTAGACATTTCAAATAACTACTACATACGGATGTATGTAAACATATTTTAGAGTATAGATTCACTTATTTTACTCCGTATGTAGTCACTTGTTGAAATTCATAAAAAAATAAGTATTTAGGAACGGAGGGAGTAGTATAAATGTCCGTACGTCGCAACGGACGAAAAATGTAGTAAAACCTGCTCTGTATGATAGTGCGTGCCATTTCCGATATACAGTTCTGATAAATATTAGTAAAAAGTTTATATTGTTATCGCTTCTCAAAGTATGAAGTGTGGATGTAAAGAAGCCACCCTAACATCCTTCATCTGATGGAAGAGTAGTGGTGCATGAAACAGTCTAGTAAACGGTTTTGTATTGCAATTTCTGAAAAAACAAAAAAAATCTTTTAAAATAATTAAACAATTTTGAAGTTCTTTATTAGAGTTGAAACATGTTTTGAAAATGAACATTTTTTGAACACATGTTTTTCTGAAAGAGAATTTTAATTTTTTTTATCAATTTTAAATAATTTTTTAAAAAGATGGATTTTTTTGGGAATTTTGAGCTTTTTTAAAGCATAAACATATTTAAAAGCATGAATTTTTTAAAGCAAGAACAATTTGAAACACTCCTTATCTTAAAAAACCCACACATACTCTGTGTCTGCAATTAAAAATATAATTGTTGGTGTCCATACCATGTAGTATAAAGTTGAGAAAGTGACAGGGATGTCCTTTGATGGCGCCTCCTTGAGCTTAGTACTATCATCGGGTGAAAGAGGAATGGCGTAACCGGTTTTAGCAGGATGTACAAACGGTGAAATTGTTATATACTGTTCGAGAGTTTAATAACTAATCCAAAAGTTTTTCTTAGAATTTTCAAAAGATTTACAAACGATTTTTTTTGGATGAAAGACGGTGGATTTTTTTTGAAATGTTGGTTATTTGATTTGCAGGATTATATCCCGTTCCTTTTCTTTTGCACTATTTGAACTTGGCCATCATCACCAAAAAAGCAAGTTTTTCTATGCTGCCCATCACAAGTAAAACTCGGGTGGATTGTCTAAAAAGGGTAAATTTTAACATGCACGGTTGTCACATTCTCTCTACTCTTCATAAAAAATATTTATTATTTCACTCACTTTTACTTATTATATTTGATGATTGTATTCATAAGATATGGTAGGCTTGAACATTAAACTATTTACAATAAGGGCATCTCCAACACTGGCCCGCAAATATTTTCGGTGTATGTCCGTTTTTGTGTCCGGCCGTGGTGCGCGGTCATAATGCCGGAGAGAAACATATAATGCTAAGCACAAAGTGTCCAGTTGGGTGGAGAAAAAGTAGGTGGGGACAATGCATATGATGGGCTATTTGTTGTATGGTGTCTAGTTGGATAGGGAGACCATGCATGTGAAGAGAGAGAAAAGAGAGGAGGACCACATAGAAGGTTTTGGTTGGTTAACTGTATGTCCGGACTTTGATACATATCCCCATGTTTTTCTACACTTTGCTGGAAATCGGACCTCCGGTTTCGCAGACTGAAATGAGTCCTCATTAAATTGCGAAAGTAAATAAGTATGTTTACTCGAACATATATTAGTGTTTTGCGGGTCTTTCTTGAAGATGTCATAATAACAAAACAACAACGAGTAATTATATCTCACGTTTGTCTACACTTTAAACAGACGTTCAAACCGTTTTTTGGACCGATACGGCTCTTCATTAGATTGCAAAATTAAATAAATATATCTTATGTTTTATGGGATAGCAAGTAATTATATCGGTGCTAGCACGCATGGCAACCTCTAGCGGCTTCTGGTCGGTGCAGTCACTAAAAAAAAGCAAATCCACACCAAAGTCCCTGTAGACATCGCCATTCCTTTGCTGCTGCTCTCCTTCCTTCCTCCTTTTCTCTGCTCCCACCCATCAGCGCTGCTCTCCTTCCTCTTCTCACCCAACGTGCCCTTCTTGCTCTAGCCTATGGCACCGCATTCCTCTCCCTCTTACCTTCTCCAAACATCTAAATCAAAGCACCACTGTCCCCTCCCTGCCCCCGACGTTCGTTCTGTTGACCCCGCCTCTCTCTCTTCTCCTTCACCAATGTGGCTGCACCCCTCTGCAGCAGCAGGACTGTAACCACCGCTTATCTATATTATCTATATTTTACTATATAGTGTATGAGTTTTAAACTTTTGAATCCTAAGCCTAAGAAGCAATTTCAACCATTGATGGCGTTGGTCCGATGGTCTAAAGCGAAGGGATTCGCATGTACAGTACTCACTGCGCAACCACGTTTAACTCTAGAGTAATCTAGAGACTCTCCAGAATTGTTTATTGTAGGATGCTTCGACACTTTCAGTACCTGCAGCAGCAGTTCACAGCGACTCCAGTGTCCTGTGCTCCCATCTTTGACCTTCAGTGTCATAGGATTTTTTTATGGCCATACCTGAAACTGATAACTTTTATGTGGCCAAATATTGTACACTGTTTGTGTGAATATTGCGTGTCTTAGAGAATATAGCAGAGTTGGTAGTATATTTGCTAAGTCACCATGTGATTAGAGTACAACACAGTATCAATACCTGAAACTGATAACTTTTTGGTGTGTACATTTTTCTTCTAAGGGACAACCTACCGTAATAGCTTTACGCACAAACAAAAAACAATGGTTGGATTGTTAGGATTTTCAAGAGCCATGTGTTTGTTTTTTCCTTTTGCAAAAATCATATGAAAGATTTGTATTCATGAATTGCACATGCTGTGCACGTACATGTGATACTCTTAAAAGGTCCCTCACAGAAGGCTGTACATGCCCTTAATCGTCGGGATCGGTGCCGGTGTTCGTGCGTGTACTCTGCACTCTGTCTCTGCGTGCTTCGGAGTGTGTTTTACGCTGTTTCCTGAAGGTGCTAGTGTGAGCCTTCTGTACTGCTTGGCTGTGCTTGTAAGGGTTGTTTGGTTTATGCCCCCAACTCGTCCTACCAAAATATTGGTCACGTCAAATTCTTTGTATGTTGTTTGCTTTGCTGCCAAATATTTGGCTGCCAACGAGTCCCTTGTTCTTTCCTTCACAGATTTTTACCAAAATTTTGGCCAACCCTGAGCGGTGGAATCCCACACCAAATAATTGGCAAGCCAATATTGGCAGGGCATCTATAGGCAAGAACCAAACATACCTAGTGCATCTTTCGCCAAAAGTGTTCTTTCTCTCTTTTTCTAGTTTGTTGTGGGTCAAGGGCTAGTCTCTCTCGATCTATAACATCTCAGTGGCTTACAGATCAGAATTCATATTCAAATTTATGAGGAAGCGGAAGAACGAGAGGAACACGACGCACACCAGCCACTCGCTATCCTATCCATTGACCGAAGCCATTTCGTCCAAGCCACTATTACAACGTTACACGGGTTTACTTATACACCTGTCTACTGGACCCATTCCGGCCCAAATGACCGAGCCGGATGCTTCTTGCTCCCCTTGGGCCTGGCCTGGTAGCTGCTTGCCGGTTCGCCCTGTACCGAATCACGCCTTGTCGAAGTAGTAGCTGTACAGTCGCTGACAATCCCCCTGGAAGAGAAGCGGCTTTGTAACGCCCTCGATGCGACTATATCTCCTACGTGTCGAAGCACGACTTAGAGGCATAATCGCATTGAAAGCAATGTCGCAAGTAAGGTAATCTTCACAACAACCCATGTAAATAAATAAAAGGGGAAAAGATACATAGTTGGCTTACACTCGCCACGTCACACAAATACATGAATAACATTACAATCATCCAATGCACTCATGGTCCGACTACGGTACCAAAATAAAGATCAACCCCCACATGCGACAAAGTCCCCGATCGCCCCAATTGGGCACCACTACTGATCATCTCGGAAAGACACGTAGTAACGACGAGAGTCTTCATCGAACTCCCACTTGAGCTCAAGCGCATCGTTTGGAGCGGTATCATCGGTCCCTGCATCTGGTTTTGGAAGTAAACTGTGAGTCACGGGGACTCATCAATCTCACACCCTCGCGATCAAGACTATTTAAGCTTATAGGTAAAGTAAGGTATGATGTGGAGCTGCAGCAAGCGACTAGCATATATGGTGGCTAACATACGAAAAAGAGAGCGAGAAGAGGAGGCAAAGCACGGACGAACAACTATGATCAAGAAGTGATCCTAGAACAACCTACGTCAAGCATTACTTCAACACCGTGTTCACTTCCCGGACTCCGCCGAGAAGAGACCATCACGGTAACACACGCGGTTGATTCATTTTAATTAAGTTAAGTTTCATGTTATCTACAACCGGACATTAAAAAATTCCCATCTGCCCATAACCGCGGACACGACTTTCAAAAGTTCAAATCCCTG